AAAAGGTAAACACTTTACTGATACTTCAAAAATAAAAAAAATTAAACAAGTTAAATTTTTTTTCTTCATTCTCTCTGCGAAAGAATATATAGAATTTTATGCAAAATAAGTGGGAAAAATAAGTGTCTATGGTATCAATCAACTGTCCGGCAAAAAAAAGTGAAGGGGAAAACAAAAACCCTAGTAACCAGAAAATGGAATCAGGTTAATACGAGGTAAAATAAACTACGGAGGAGGAAAAAAGAGCAAGGAAACTATGACCTCAAAACAAATAAAAAAAAGGGATAAGAGGAAAAATACCAACAACAGCAAAAAAAAAAAAAAGACATAAACATACCCGTATAAAATCACAATATATTTTAAAAACAACTATGAGCGCAAAGAAATCATGTGCAGAAAGCAAAACCAGTAGCAGCAATTATAGACAACTACGACAACGACGACGACGACGACGACAACGACAACGACAACAGACCTATTGTGCCGTACGAACAATACAGAGCTGGCAGAGCGCCAAGCGCGGGAATTTGATTATTCTTTTTCTTTTGCCGCATAGTTTCGACGGTGATCATATCGGACAATATTATATCAATAAATTGGTATATGTGGTCCACTTTGTGCTGGATTACACACATTTTTATCTGACATTTTAGATTTTTTTTCAAACTTTGTTGATTGGTAAAGTGTAGGTTAGAGTACGGAAAGCTGCAGAGAGCACCAGGAGAAGCGAGTCCCCTGCCAAGTTACATCCGCCGAGGTTGCAAAATTTACCAAGTTGCTGCTTGACATGCCTGTCCTCTAAGACTTCTAGTACGGCTGAACCTCAACAGAATTTAATACCTTCGAGTTCTTCAGGTTTGTCATACCTTCTACTTCCTGGTAGTAAAAAAGATTTACTTTTTTCAAATGACTGCATAGATATAATAAAAGCAAGGTTTTAAATAAGTACAAAAAAAGGTGATGGGGAGGAAATATTGGAGCAGAAGGTACTTCTTATGGCTTTACAGAATGATAAATTGTTGACATCTCAAAATAAAATATAATTTTTTTAACAGGGTCCATAAAAATTAAATCGCACCAGACTTTCATAGACACTTTTCATGACTTTCAGTAACAGCTGAAGACGATTATAGCACAGTAAAATGTATGGGATTACTGCAAAAATAGTAAGTTTTTTCTTTTTCAGCCGTATGCTCTCTTCCGGTTAGTAACTCTCAACGCCAGAAAAACGCATTTAGCAATTTTCGATTCTTATAGAGCAGAAAATTTCCACAAAATATATATCTTTTAAAAACTTTAGCAGTTTTTCTTCTGATTTCTTCCTTCTTACTCAGCTTGCAATAGTGGTTTTTCTGATGACACTTGATAAGTGTTTATTCTACGGACTTCCGTTTTATGCAGACAAAAATGATCATGGAACTGTTATATATATATATATATATATATA